TATATATATATATATATATATATATATATATATATATATATATATATACATACAGCCACACACACAGATTGTGCTGTAGGACAGGGGTGGATTGGGTTTCCTGTGTCCCAGGCTTATGGCTGAGAGGTGAAGGGGACAAACCCACCCGTCAGAAGTACTGAATAATGCACAACTGGGGCACAGCTTAGTTTGACCCAGTATGTGGGATTCACACACACACACACACGTGTGATACTACATGGTATTGACTACAGTAGCCGGACCAGTAGATGTTGATCTCATCCCTCTGGTCTCAATGCCTGGGCCATGCTTGACCTGGTTCCCACAGTGTGTGTGTGTGTGTGTGTGTGTGTGTGTGTGTGTGTGTGTGTGTGCGTGCGTGCGTGCGTGTGTGCGTCGGTTCATGGCATGCCAGTCTGATGAAGAAGGTCTCTCTCACTTTCCTTCTCTCTGTCTCTTTCTGCCCTGTCCCTCCCTCCACATGCCATATTGTATTTTGCCTGCGTCCCTCACCATAGTGACTCCCAGAACCCCCCCCCCCACACACACACACACACACACACACACAGATAGGCGGATGAGAGTCTGTGTTGAGGGCATCTGCTAGATTAGAGGGTATTGACACAATGTGGATCAGCGGTCATCTATCCTTCATGACCTCTGCACACACAGGCAGCTGATGATCCACCAGTGTTTTGACTGAGACACTTTCTTATGCCAGGTAGTCGCACCGAGCCCACAGCTTCTCAGACACAGCTTCTCCAGAGCGACATGTTGGACATTCTACAGCTGTTGTCACAGACAGCTGCTGCTTCTGGATGTACGCTGCAAATTCCCATTCGATGTTTTCTTTGAATGCTTTTCTCCATGTTTTAAAGAAAGGATTTTATCATCCTATAGCTTCAGGAATGTTCCTCATGTATTCAAATCCAAACATTACAATTTTGGTTGAAGTGCGTATGTTTTAGCATCAAAAATGCTTTTCCCTTAGTCAGTGTGTGGCCTACAGTAACTCACAGTTTGGAGGAGCAGACGAGCTGATTTACTGCTGAGGACGCCATGTTAGTTCCAATCCAAAAGTCACACCATAACAAACAAACTAACCGATGGATGGTTTTAGTCAGAGGAGTCTGGTGGCTTTGGAGAGATATAACAGCTTCAGCGGTGACGATATAGCATACACTTAAAGGTTGGGTTGGTCATTTGTGTTCTACAGGATCGTAGTGTTCTACAGGATCGTAGTTTGTGTTCTACAGGATCCTAGTGTTCTACAGGATCGTAGTTTGTATTCTACAGGATCCTAGTGTTCTACAGGATCGTAGTTTGTGTTCTACAGGATCCTAGTGTTCTACAGGATCGTAGTTTGTGTTCTACAGGATCCTTGTGTTCTATAGGATCGTAGTTTGTGTTCTACAGGATCGTAGTTTGTGTTCTACAGGATCATAGTTTGTGTTCTACAGGATCGTAGTTTGTGTTCTACAGGATCGCAGTTTGTGTTCTACAGGATCCTAGTGTTCTACAGGATCCTAGTGTTCTACAGGATTAGGTGCTGTCAGCAGCACATGACACACAATGCAATCTGTCCTGTTAAGGAGATCCCATAAATTCCCCTTTAAATGCTCCAGTCGGCCCGATCCTCCCCCGCCTCGGCCCATAATCCCAATCCCAGCCATTGTTCGTAAAAAGGATAATCCCAGAATTAACTCTTCCCCTGAATGAGGATAGTGCTGTCACGGACACACACACACACACACACACACGCACACACACACACACAGATCAAGCTACACTAACACAGAAATACACCTCAGTTTGTTTGTGTGTTGTAAAGGAAATGTGTTTGTACTGTATGAATGTTAATTGCCACATTGCTCACTCACTAATAAACATGCACAGTATGCACAGTACATGCACCACATGCACAGTATATTTACTGTGCATGTGACTCAGCACTGCATATTTTAACATAGTGTGTGTGACCGACCCTTCCTTAATCCTTGGATTCCTTAAAAACATGGAGGATTATCCAATATTTGGGCTTTTTTTTCTGAATGACTGGAAGTCTTCCATTAACCAGAACAGCAAGCACTCAACAAGATGTCCAGTAACTCCTTTAACTTCAAGAGTAAACACACAGCATCCTCCAGCCTCATGAAACTCAACATGCTGTTCTCTTCTCTGTCTGTCTGTCTGACAAAGCGGCAACCTCCGGTTCTGCCGAGTGAAGCCAATGCTGAAGAGTCTTAAAGCTGCATTCTCTCTAGTGTCCACCAGGGGGCGACTCCTCTGGTTGTATAGAAGTCTATGAGAAAATGACTCTACTTCTCTCTTGATTTATTACCTCAGTAAACATTGTAAACATGAGTTTATGGTCTCAATCTCTAGTTTCAAGTCTTCTTCAATACAGCATGATGTTCATTTAGTACATGATGGTCCATTTAGAGTCAAATAGACAGGTCGCTATTGCTACCAGAGCCGTATACGGCGTCTCTACGTCAATCCTCCACATTCCAAACATGGTAACTTTCATTCATTGGTTGCAAAAAAAAATAACATGGCCACGGACTCAAGGCTTCATAACATCGGTCCACACACCAATGGGTGACATCACGATAACTACCTCCACTTCTTACATACAGTCTGTCTCTGGTCAGTGGGACACTTGAAAAACGTCCTCTCAATTACCTCAATGTTGTCCTTTGAGATAGAGCAGATAAATGCTCCAAACACTGGCTCTGACTCAGTGGCCCCCAAGACACTCTAGGTTCCCCTCTACTGTCAGGTCAGGTCAATCTAGCCTCATTACACGTAGAGTGTATTTACAAAATAAACTTCCCTCTTCACAGGAAATTAGGTTGAAGCAATAAAACCACTTTGTTAGGTTTAGACGTGCTTGGTTAACGTTAACTTAATTGACTCATGTGACTAGCAAGTCACACACACATGTGGTCACGTGTCCAGCCAGGGACTAAACAAGTCACATGACTGTGCATGAATAATATTAAATAAATACATACTATATATCAAAACAATGTCTGCAATTTTTCAGCACTATAGTCCTTTGGCAGTTCATGAACAATTACTTTTGAAACTGTATTTTCAAATGCTCCTCATAGTCTTGAACTACAGTGGATTTCTAGAATACTTTTTGACTCGTGCTACAAAATGTTGAACCTCTGTAGCAAATGAAATACAAAAGTAGCTCAGTAGGAGCTCAATACACTCAATTTATTGTTATATTGATCAGACTAATACACCTTTATAAACATCGCAAGGAAGGAAAATATGATCTGAAGATATGAATGATAAGAATGGAGGGATGAGATCCTGTGTGGCTGCACCATTCAGTCCATCTGAACACACAATTTATTTTCTATATATCAGAGGGGAAATGGAGCAGAATACTTTCATTTTTTCTTTAGAGGCATGTTGACAACATCGCCCATCTTTTATCTAGCCGACGGCTGACGGATATTTCGGGCAATGTGGCAAACGGTGATGATAGAGGACTGATGGAGGAGTAGATGGCGAGAGGGTTCAGATATTCTATGAATAAGGCTCAACTTGACATAGAAAACTATTCATGCCACGATGGGAGGGAGAGGGGGAGGGGAACGACTGGCGAGGAAAACAGGAAAAGGGGCCAGAGGCTGGAAAGCAGAAAGAGAAAGAGAGAGAGATGAGAAAGGGATGTGCTAGAACTAGAAGGGAGATGGGGAGAACAGTTCAAATGAGAGCTCCATGGCCTCGTTGCTGCTTGAGCTCCAGCTGGGAGGTCAGTATTGAGTTTAGTTGAGCGGCACGAGCGCACGTGACCAGTCAAAGCAAGGCTGCTCGCCCAGAGAGAGAGACTCGTTGATGTGGTTCCTGTATAGATTGTATTATTGAACTTTTCTGTGGACGTACATAAAGGATCAGAGTTGTAGAGAACTGAGGATATCCTTAAGAATGGGTCACACATTTATAGTTTCATTTTGAGGATGAAGGGCCGCTGTGAGGCGTTCACTTGACCTCGCTCTGACTGAACCGTCCCCCCTTCTCTCTCTGTCACACACATGTTGTCTGTCTCTCCTCTCCTCTGTGGAGATGGAGTCCTCTCCTCCACCCATCCACTTCTGTCGGTGCCTCCATTATTTGTGCTAGAACCAGTAGAGTGTAAGGGGCTGAGGTCCAGGGTAGTTAGAGGAACCTACATTCCAGCCAGAGTGCTCCACCCACTCCCTCAGGAGAGCATTGGGATCAGGTGTGGGAAGAGACACACCTGGAGCTGATCTCCTCATCAGGGAGATAAATAAAGGTGAAGCAGGAAGCTGATCAGAGAGAACATGCTGCTAGAGGAGGAGAGGCGGCTCCCTAAGATCTCCAGGTTTGAGAAAGTTGAGACCAGTAAGTCGGCTAGCGGCCCGGCTGGAATGGTTTATATTTTCTAGCGTTGTGACAGAGCTCTGGACTGAGCGAGGTTTTCTGTTGTTTTGTGTTACTTGGTTTGTTTAATTAAATAACCTGCATAGCTGCCTCTGGTTGCTGTGCTGCCACTACTTCCTGTGGCCTCCGTACCGTCCTGTTACAAGACTTTAACTGAGTCCCATCTCTGTGGCATCTCCGTACGGCTACTATCTGCCTCGTCCTTCAGTTAGAGGCTCCCCTCAGATAATAAAGCCCCCCCCCCCCCCCCATTGTTTGGTATGACTGAAGCAGGTCAGATATGAAGCATTATTAGTATTTAGGTCAGCTGATGATTTCTATATTTTTTCCCGAACTGAATCAATCTTTTTCCCACAACACTGATTTCATTCATTGCATTAGCAACTGGCCAATCACTGGGCTCACAGACAGCAGGCCCAGCTGCTTCTGTTTGAGATGGTATCAATGGAGGTTTTTTAGGGTGTTTGTTGTACTGTGGATGACCCATTGGTCACTGCGGTCTTTATTTAAAATTGTATTCTTTTCTAAAAACTGTCTTCCCTTAAAACCACCCGGCCTCAGAGAAATGAGCTTCTTACAGAAACTACTTCTGGAAATCACAAGAGGCTTTAGAAGAATTATCAACATCTTCTAGATCACTTCTCAACAACATTTCAAAATAAAGAAAAGCCTTTTTTAATCTACAATATTAGGATTTTCACAGAGCGGCTCCTGAATGCCTTTGACATTTTACACTGCATGAATTAGCCTAGCTGCTAGTGGGCATTAGTAAATTAGTTAATTGGGCCCAATCCCAACCTCCACACTCACAGACTTTGAGGTGCGCTCCCTTAAGTCTGTGAGGGTTTAGTTCTGTCCCACTGTGTTTGAGTCTCTCTCGCAGACATTTTGAGCCCTTCATGGAGATGTTAAAAAAGGTACACAAAGATTCTTTGTCACTTCTAAAGCAAACATGCCAAATGCTGGCAGGTTCCAGCTTCAGCAATGTGCAGATGTTGCCGCCACCACTTAATATGAACTTCCTTGATTCCCTTTTGAAATCTCTGGTGTTTGTTCTCACAAAGCCAGCACACTGCAGTGGGAGAGGGCAAGGTGTCTGAACACAGTGTTTAAGAGAGAATGAGGTCAGTATTTAGCCTTCTCAACTCCCATTGACTTCAAGAGAGGACAGTTTAAATACAATGCCAACATTAGAGATATTTATACTACTGGTGGTGTAACGGACCACAGTTGGATCTGTTTACCCCGTACGGATCCCCTTCACGGTTCAGCGCGCGTGTGGACCGCAGATTAATCACACAGTTTAACGTTTACCATCACAGTGTGAGATACAGTTTTACTGACATCGTTATCCACCAATATTCAGTCAAATATGGAAACGGTTGTAAACAACCAATCCGTGTTTAAACTTACAGGAGGAGCGCTAGTAACGTTAGCAGCATGGCTAACGGAGGAAGGTTACCTTCAGTTACATTATGATGCGTTCAGGCTCTGTTCAGTGAAGATGAGTATTGAGTATTGAGGTGAATTTATAATGTTAGGATGTGTTTACATGTGATCTTGTAAAAAGTAGTGTTGGTGAGAAATGATCCATTGCACCACTATCTCCAGGTGAAGACACGTAGCCGCTTTTTGCCTATTCTAAGCGGGTCGATTGCTCTGCAAGAACCGCTCACCATTCGTCGTCTCACATGTGTTTGTTTACTAGAAAGTTAACGTGTTTCTTGGGGCGACTAGACAAGACATGGCAGAGTTGGTCTCACAAAACTGCACCAATACGGCAACATCTTTGACCACCAAAATGGAATGGGCTCTTCCTTAGTCCATGCTACACCCTTCTACCTAGTTCCATAGTACACATTCTTTAATCCTGCTGACAAACCAAACCAGAGACACAACCTCCAGCTGCTAGGCGGAGTTAATAAACCAGAATTATGTTCAAAAGTTTGACGAGACTGTTTGTAGGTACCATGCATCAGGTCTAGTGTTTTCATTCTCTCTAGCTGGGTTGAAGACCTTTTCTTCTCACCTTGAAAAACCTAAAACACGCCCCCCCCAGGCTCCTCTGAGATAAAGCCTAATTCAGCATCGCCCCCCGAGGGTACGCCTCATCTATTCCTGACTGCCCTCCTGTCTTTTTCTGTTCCGTCATGCGCCCAGTCTAATTGAGTTTATCCGCCCGAGTTTATCTCAGGTCGGAGGACATTATCGTTACTTTACGGAGGCAGCGGGCGGAGACGTTACAGCCACAGCCCTGTTTCCTCAGTCAACACTACCGGCCCTGTTCAAGTGAAGCTCACCATAATTCGTTTGCTCTGCTATTCCTGCCGCCGCCTCCAGCATGTCATCACGCACACATTCACACACAGATCAGTGTCTTGTGGGATCCACCATACAGAGCCTGGCGTGTCAAACGGTCCATAATGGATCTGGTGAGGTTGTGGACAAGGAACACAGACTGTAGTTTGGGTTTCCTCCCACAGTCACAAACTCTACAATCACTGACCAACATGTTTGCCTCTTGCCTGGTGCATGCTGGGATATGCTGCAGTCACCCTGAACCTGCTGAGGTTAAGCAGAGGGAATGCATAGACTCTAGCAAACCCTGATGATCTACAGTGCTTTTATACTGAATCATTTCAAGGTGGAGAGTGAACATTCCTGATCTGATGTACTGTCCTGTCCGTGTGTGTGTGTGTGTGTCTGTGTGTTTGTGTGTTTGTGTGTGTGTTCATGTGCAGTGCTGCTGGAGGTGAGATCTTCAACCAGTGCGTGTCAGATGAGGAAGACGAGGCCTTCAGCGAGGAGGACGTGAAGAGGCTCATGAGGCAGATCCTGGAGGGCGTGTCCTTCCTCCACCAGAACAACGTAGTCCACCTGGACCTGAAGGTCAGTGGAACACGAAGCACCTGAGTTTTTGCATTTCTTGTATTTCATTCCTACTCTCATCTCTCCATGATGTCTAAAAGGAGTGAGTTGAGATGAAACCGCATTCATTCACATTAGAACAGTGAAATAATCCGGTAGTGTGTACACTGGAATCAGCTGTAAGAGGATTTCAAGTTATTATCTAACATGATGTCATAATAGGTAAATGACCGGGCTATATTGATTGTTATGTATCATTGGTGAAACAAAGAAGACACTCACCTCCATGAAGGAGAGAGTGTATGAGGACACAATGAGACAGATGTGTGTGTGTGTGCTGTGCCTCAGCCTCAGAACGTCCTGCTGACCAGCAGCTCTCCTCTGGGGGACATCAAGATCGTGGACTTTGGTCTGTCCAGGATGGTCAGCAGCCACCAGGAGCTCAGGGAGATCATGGGGACTCCGGAGTACGTCGGTGAGTTGCATCACTTCTACCACCACACTGCACTCATTTCTGCACAGGTTTCCTTCAGAATGATTTACGGGTGTGTTTGTGTTCTTGTTTCCAGCTCCTGAGATTCTAAATTATGAGCCCATAAGCACAGCAACAGATATGTGGTAAGAGAAGGTCATAAGCGGTATGAAAATGTCTGCCCAGTGGTGGTATAAAAACACACTGTGTCCTGTTTACTGATACCAAGAGTCTGCAGCCAGTGGGATGGGAACTTAATAATGACATAATAAATCACCAGAAGGAGTCTGAAACATATATATCCAATGATTGGTACGTCCTGCTGGCACTAGGCATGAAGTCTGAGGATCACTGAAGACAGCAGGGTTTGTCCTCTGGGGACCATGCATGTCACTCCATTACAATCCATTGAAGATTTACAGACCAACCAACAGACTGTCATGTCATTGTATGAAGATGTGTTTCATCTGCTGCCTTCAGGTCCAGTTGGGAATATAAATCTACTTTATTGTGAACAACACAACTCATATGATACGAGGAGTTTTTTTCTCTAGTTACTACATTTTTTTGATTCACTCTGTCAATAAATCTTCTTTTAAAAGTTACAAGAACAAAAGGAAAAAGGAAACCTCTACATAAACACCAGAGACAAGAGGGAGAGGGGGTGGGGAGAACACACCATGTCTGTTAATGTAATGTAGCTTCCACATTGTATTGATACTTTCAAGTCATTTGAAGTAATAAAACCATCATAACTAGAACATTCATTCTTTTGCTGTGAAAGCTGAAGCTTCTGTCTTTCCCGTCATCACGATGTACGCTCGTGACGACGTCATTACCAAACATCAGAATGTACTAGAACAAGACTATGGACACGTTTGCACTCTGCTCATTAACACCAAAAAACATGTATATAGTTCAAACAATGTTTGTGTAGCGCTGCACAGAATGATGTCACACAGGCTCAATCTGGTGCAAAATACAAAAGTATGCGTTTAGGTCTACAGTCGCTCCACAGCTCATGTCGCAACACTGACACCTACTGGCGATCCACTGGATCTACTGCCTACAAATGTAGTGATTAATAACGCTGTACCTCACATTTTAACTACAATGAACACTTCCTCCTCAAACACATAGGAAGCATAATAAACTCTCTTAACTTACATTACACCCAAGAAATGATTGTACTTACTGAACTACACATGACTTATTGTGACACATTAGGTGACATGTTTAGGGACATGTTTTGTCAATTTATCTACATTTAGCATTGTTCAGGAAATATATGTTTGTGTGTTTATTTCTTCAAATTTGATGAAACCACTTTTATATTCATGACTTGTATCGCCATGTAGCTTAGGTTCTACTGTTTCAAGTGACACTAATAAATGACATCGCAGTAAGCACAATGACCCATGAAGGCACAGGATCACCTCAAATATTGTGAAAGAAATAGCCGGGAAATGTAACTCAACAAAGTATGAAATACAGATTTTACATGTTTAATTATATATTACTTTGTTTATTTTTTCCTATGAATGTGTAGCTGCTAATGGGTGAAGGGTGCATCTTTCAGTGTATCTGGTCTCATTCATGCAGTACGTATCTTGTGTTTAGGAGTGCTGGTGTTCTGGCCTACGTGATGCTGACGGGAATCTCTCCGTTCCTGGGCGAGAACAAGCAGGAGACCTTTCTCAACATCTCCCAGCTCAACGTGAGCTACAGCGAGGAGGAGCTGCAGCAGCTGGACCGCAGCGCCCTGTCCTTCATCCAGACGCTGCTCCGCAAGCAGCCACAGTCAGTCCACTCCTCACTTCACTCCACCCCGGGGCTGGTCATGGGAGAGGGGTGGGGGGGACGGGTATCCTGAGGATTCTAGTGCTCTTATCGTTCTTTCTGATTTAATTGTGGGGAAAAATGAATTAAGCTTGCTTTATTATTCTTGTATGTAAACAAATAGTCTTTCTTCAGCAGCAATTCAGGAAGTTCCAAAATCTTTCAAATATTGTTGCAGCTAAACAATGATCTCAGTTATTATTTCATTGATGATCCTGTTCTTGTGATCAAACTCTGTATGACATCACTAATGTATGACATCACTAACGTATGACATCACTACCGTTACCTGACGGCTGCTCCACAAACAGATGTTCTGTTCTGCTTGTTGGTCACATGTTGTGATGAAACCTACTTGTGAGGGTTTTATTGTGTTTGAGACGACTTCTCTCTGATCCTGTGAGTCTCACGCTGTACTGAGAGAGACAGAGAGACAGAGAGAGGACGTCTCAGTCCACAACTAAGAAAGAACCGATATAACAGAACCGTTAACTCAGGACCGCATCAATACTTTAGCTTAGAACTGGGTTTCGGGGGAGGGGCATACCTACCAATGACGTAGCACTGGAAAGGTGAAACAGAACAGGAAACTCAAAACATACGACTATTTGATTTATGTGGTCAGTTTGCTTCATGTCACCGGCTTCCATTGAACATGACTCGTAGCCTGCTGTGCTGTTGTGTCGCTGGTTGTGTGACCGCAGCATTACTGTCCTCACAGCTGGACCGCTAAATGTCCCGTTAAAGTTATAAAACCACGTATTCAATGCAGAACATAAAGCAGCAGAATGTACCATATCCAGCTGTATTCATCTGTGTGTGTGTGTGTGTGTGTGTGTGTGTGTGTGTGTGTGTGTGCAGGGAGCGGGCCACAGCCGAGCAGTGTCTCAAACACCCCTGGCTTCAGATGTCAGAGCTTCAGGAACCCCAGACGGAGGAGGAGGCCCTCCCAGTGGAGGAAAAGGAGGCATCCAGCTCCACCAGTAGCCCTGAACCTCCCAGCGGCACCACCACGGCTGAGGATGAGGATGAGGATGGGGGGAGGGTTCCGGTGGCTGAGGAGCTGATAGTGGTGGCCGCCTACACGCTGGGTCAGTGCCGCCAGTCCTCCTCCTCAGAGAAGGAGGCGCTGGTTGCCGAGCAGAAGGCCATCTCCAAACGCTTCAAGTTCGAGGAGCCTTTCAGTTCGCTGCAGGAGGTCCTTGGAGAGTTCATCTACTGACCCCGCCCTCCGATTAAACGTTAGTGCTGTCATGGTAACAAAAAGAAACCCTCTGGTTATACAAGTTCCCCTCCATATATATATATATATATATATATATACATACTGTATGTGTATACTAAGATCCTTATTTAAGCGGTTGGATTTTAAGTGCTTTTTTTAATACCGACCTACTCAAAAGTTTCTCCCATAATGCATCACTTTGCTTGACAGCCTCCCACTCCACCTTGTGAAACAGCTGCAGTAGATGTTTGTCTCTTGTGTTTTTCTTTTCTCTCTCAACAACTGGCCAAATGTAAACAGGGTGACAATAAGATATGTTTGTAAGTCCAACTTTCAACAATCAAATGGGGACGGAGGCTGAATCTAAATCTGCACCTTGTGGACCAGGTCTTTACATGTGTCAGGGTGCAGGACTTCAGGTCCCAGCAGAGCCCATGGATGTGACCTCTCAAAGTATCTCTATGAACACAAGTCTCACATGTTGTGCTATGTAAAGCACCAATAGACATAACAAACGTGAACACTGATCGTTCTTTTTTAACCTTGATGACAAAACAATCTTACTACAAGGTCCATTTGGTACTTCTTCCTGAGCTTTCGATCATATCACTGGAGCTTCCTCAGTTTGACCAGTTCTCATAAAAAGAACGAGCAGCGTGAGAGAAAAAGGACTTTAAAAGTTTGAACTACAAGTTTCTGGCAAGTGTCCAGTGAGCGTCTCAGTGTGCACATGCAGAACAGTAAGGACATCTGGAATGAACAAGACACAAACCCAGAGGGGCAGGACATAGAGGGTCCACATGTTCTTCCTCAGACACTCACAGACAGCTAGTGCTGGAGGGTAAACACAGGTGTGTTGACTGACGGGGGATGCTGGCGAGTCTAACGCCGCTCCGTCTGGCAGTTTTTGTTTTGTTTGATTTTCCTACCGTAATCACAATTTAACCTACATTTTGGTTTTATTTAACAGAGTCGTTAAGTTTAATCATTGTAAATAGCCATTATCCTCTGTTTTCAACTCTACTGCAACGCTTCGTCTTGGATTTGTTTGGATTTGGATTTGTTTGCTTACCTGTTGCACCTGCTCTCCACTGCTACCGTCTACTCCCTGGACAACTAGCTGGCTAGCTGGTGGTCTCTCGCTAGCTGGCGGCTACCGACGAACCAGCCGGCTCCCTGCTGGATACCCTTGTCCACGCTCCTTGCTACTGCCCTGAGTTAGGCAACCCAGGCGGGTTGCCTGGATAGCCTCTCAACTGTCCTGGTGCGGTCAGTCTGACTGCTGCTTCTTCAGCTAGCTGTTAGCTAGCCGCCCTCCAGTCAGCGTGTAGTTAACGTTGGCAGCTGACTGAACTGCCTGAACTTGACCCAGACATCCCCAACAACTACCGGCCCATCTCCAACCTCCCCTACCTGTCCAAAGTCCTCGAGAGAGCTGTTGCATCACAACTCAAGTCCCACCTCAATCTCCATAATCTCTACGAACCCTTCCAATCCGGCTTCCGTTCAAAACATAGCACAGAAACCGCCCTACTGAAAATCACAGATGACATACTTCTCTCTGCTGACTCTGGATTTCTCACCATCCTCATCCTCCTTGACCTCAGCGCCGCCTTCGACACTATCAACCACTCCATCCTCCTCTCACGTCTCCAGTACTCCCTTGGCATAACTGGCACTGCCCTCTCCTGGTTCACCTCATACCTCTCTGACCGACATCAATTCATTGCAATAAACAACTGTCAATCCTCCACCTCCCCAGTCACCCACGGTATCCCCCAAGGTTCCGTGCTTGGTCCCCTCCTCTTCATCATTTACATCCTTCCCCTTGGACAAATCATCCGTCGTCATGGTCTCAACTTCCACTGCTATGCTGACGATACCCAACTCTACTTCTCCACCAAGACCATCACCTCCGTCACCCACTCCGCTCTCACCACCTGTCTCACTGATATAAATCATGGATGCAACAGAACTTTCTCAAACTCAACTGCAACAAATCTGAAATACTCATCATCGGCCCTAACTCCCTCACCCGTTCAGCCCAGCCCTTCTCTCTCAACATTGATGGCTCCATCGTCACCCCCTCCACCCAGGTCCACAACCTCGGTATCATCCTCGACCCCACCCTCTCTTTTCTACCCCACGCCAACCACATCACCAAAACTGCCTTCTTTCACCTCAGGAACATTGCATGTCTCCGACCCTCCCTGTCCTCTGCCACCACCTAAATTCTCATCCATGCCCTCATAACCTCCAGACTCGACTACTGCAACAGCATCCTCTATGGTTCTCCCAACAAAATCATCAACAAACTACAATATGTTCAGAACTCTGCCGCTCGACTGCTCACTTCCACCCGCCGCTATGAACACATCACCCCGGTCCTTCGCAACCTCCACTGGCTCCCGGTCAAATTCAGAATAGACTTCAAAATACTACTCACCACCTACAAAGCTCTAAACAACCTGGCCCCTCCCTACCTTTCAGACCTCCTCCCCCTCCACGCCCCAACCCGTTGCCTCAGGTCCGCCGGTGCAAACACTCTGAAGACCATCAGGACCAAGCGCCGGACCTGGGGTGACAGGGCCTTCTCAGCTGCTGCACCTCCCCTCTGGAACTCCCTCCCCATCCACATCCGTGAGGCTTCCTCCCTATCATCATTCAAACAAGCCCTCAAAACCCACCTCTTCAAACTCGCCTTCACCTGCTAACCCCGGCACCCTACCCTCCACTACATGACCCATTCAGCACAGCTTCTCTAGTTATTGTTTTTTTTTTTGTTTTTTTTTTGTTTGTTTGTTTGTTCTGTTTGTCTCTGCCTTGTAAAGCGTCTTTGAGTATCTAGAAAAGCGCTATAGAAAATTGATTTATTATTATTATTATTATAAATATCTGAGTACAGTGTGCACTTATATCCTGATCTCAGCCTGACTGATGCTACATGAGGACAGAACAGGAATATTAGGCGGCAAGCTTTTAGAAAAAGATAGATTTTTCTGAGCTTTTGCAAATCAAAGCATCAACCAATCACGTTGCATATTGGAAACGTATACTAGACTGTACAACAACACGGGGCTCCGTAGTCTGAACCAACACAGCAAACTATCACTCCTACACCTCGACAAAGGCAGACCAGATCCTCTCCTTGTGTTCTTACCTTTCACAATAAAAGTCCTAGACATGTAGAGTAACTGTTTACCAGAGGGAACTCTCGTTCACTCAGAGCACAAGTCAATTCAAAAGAATAGCACACCGTAGTTTAGACGATACGACCTCAGACAGAATGTGAGAAGGATCCTGGTAGTCGGTCTCTGCCTGGGCGAATCTATTCAAACCTTTATTGAAAAAGTGCTGCCGCTGTCACACATTTGCTGTTGTATGAATAGTTTTAATGCGAAACATTCCCAACCAAACGTTTAGCATCTTCATTGTCACGTCCCGGTGTGTAGAAGCCTTCAGTGGCGTGGTCTCAGTCAGGCTCTGGTTCTAGTGCACTTCATCTGGCCTCAATGCTCTTTATGACGTCATTGAACCCTCATGTTGTGATCACGGGCCAAAAAGCATGCTGGGAAAAGAGACGTCACTGACTAACGTAGAAACAGCTGAGTCAGGGATTCTAAGATACAGTTCCAGTCCTCGTACATGTGTGTGATTACTGCTGACTGAGGGTTGATTTGCAGTCAGTGTGTTTGTCGCCGTTAGAAACAGCTCGAAGGAGTCACAGTTCTTCCTTTTTCAGAAGCCAAATGTTAGTTGATTTCTGTCTGTTGTTCCCGTCTGTGCTGCTCTTCTTATTCAGCCCGTTTGTTTCTCCTCTCATTCTGTATTTGGTTCCATGCTTGAAGAAAGTATTTGATGATTTTAGTTTTTTTTTAATTGCAGGTGTTTCTGTGTAATATTGCAGATATTGCTGAGACAGAATCTCTGAGTTTTATAATTCTGTATACATGATTTTTATTTAACAGTACTGTTTAAAGAGCCATTTCACATGAGTGAGCCTCCCATGGCTCAGCTCTCATCTGAAGCTGTACATGGAGACGAGCAGCGCTGTGGACTGCAGAGGGTCTGTACTGTAAATGAATGTTTATGAAACAATAAGCTCCGTCACCATGGGAACAGATTTGTACACGAATGTCCCGTACTGTAAATAAACATTTCAGAAGTGTGCTGAGAGAGTTTGGTATCATTCGGGATCAGAGTACAGAAAGGAGACGAGTGTTAGTGTAAGTGTTACAACAGGACCTAGAGCACACACACACCACACACACACACACACACCACACATACACACGCCACTAGAGGTATTCTAGATATTTGTGTTGGACTTAACTGTCCAATGAGCTGTTGTATTTAGAAAGTACCGTATTGTCTCGTCACATGATCAACATATTACCCAGCAATCATTGCATAGCTGCATTTAACAAATGAAGTTAAGGAGTCATTATTGTAAGTGCACAGTTCTTACAGTTTATTTAAAGTTTTGTATAGATTAAAATAAGCATATAATTGTGTTATGGATTGCTACTGAATTCCAGGTTTGTTTTAAAGCCGCTTTAATGAAGTGAGCTACAGAAATAATCCATCAAATCAAACAGTTACCCATGCAGGGGGAGCAGGGAGAGCACGGAGAGCAGGGACCTTCACCAAGAAATGAAATACAAAATGTCACTCACCTGGCATTAGAAGGAGTGTTTTCAGCTGTGTGTCATGGCCTCCCTCAGCTGGCTGTGAACACCAGATCTAAACTGCTCACAGCTTCCACTGTGAAAGGGTCAAAGGAAGCCGGAGGAAACCCACGCTGACACGGGCAGAACATACAAACCCCGCACAGAAGGGAATGAACCCAGACCCTCCACACTACATTACCTCCAGGGACCACTAGATGGAGGCAGCAGTGTTCATCACTCATATCAGAGGCCATGTGGAGGGATCACAGTTCAGTTTGGTTTGTCCGCTCTGGGCTCCTGTAGAAACATGCTGGCTCCATGAAGAGGACCCGCTATGTATATAGATATAAACAGCTCATTCAAAACCATTCTTGTTATCTATTATTCTTATTATACTCTCAGATTCTTACACATTAATATCAAATTCAATTTCTGTTAATACAGCTCCCTAAATAATACACATTGCTCTGTAGATAATACATCGGTGCAAAAAACACTCTGCTGACTGTTTGATATGGTTTAGAGCCTCTATGAAGGATTTAACGTGATTATAGATTTTTTCCATTTGTTGATTTTGTTAGAAATATGAAAAAACATTTTGTTGGACAGTCAATTCATCTCTTGGGTCCAAGAGAACTGCTACATATAGTCACTTTAAAATAGATGTACTTCTTTGATACACAGGACACTTTTTGGTATAATGGGAGTGTATGTCTTTTGTCCTTTCATGGTCAGAGTTGACTGTTAGTAGGAGACATTGAGACAAACTGCAGCCTCCAATGTCAGACACTTTGTACACTCAAGCATCCACCCTTACCTCCTCCCAAGGAGCTTTTGCTGTGCTACGTCATGCTACTGTACAGACAGCAGATATTATTCACACGACCACAAGAGGTCATTTGAACAAGAGTCTGCAGCCCGGCAAGTGGCTCTGTGACACAGTCCTTATGCAGCGGTGCTTTGAGCTAGCCAAATGCTAACTTCAGCATGCTAACAATGAAATGCTGTTTGTTCTGGGGAAGCAGCCCAATGCCCCCTCTCTAACTGCCAAACCAAGACAGTATATTCTGAACATGCATACATACTCCTCGTTATGTAACTTTTACCAAACAAGCTGCTGAACCTCTCCTTCATGAGGCCTTGCCCTAACAGTCCATACAAATGCAACAGCAATGGTTGTCCACCAGAGGTCACCATTTCTCTGTCTCTGGCACTTTCGAGCATTCAGCTCGCTTCTCATTGGTTCAGTGCTTCAGGAAGCTGTGTTTCCTCCATCAGCAGAGACAGAAGGTTTACTGGTTAGTTACACAGCAGCAAGGGAACTGTTGACATTAAAGCATATCATGCTCCGCCCCCTCGCCTACCACCTAGCATCATTGATACTAGTCTGATTCCTGGCAATACCATACACAAGATGCTGTGGTTGTCAACCAGGGGTCCTTGAGAGAGCTCCAGGGCTCCCCCCCCAAAAAAGGAGAATAGTTTTTCTACACATAAAAGTGTACTAGATTATGGGTCCATAAATGTGGTCAACACACGTCTCTCACTCGTTCCCTCGGTTTCAGTTTCTGTTCTCACTCGTAGCTCTGCTGGTGGCTGAAGTCTCTGTCCTACTGGAGAGCGATCAATGTTTAGTTCCTTTATAGTTTATGTGTGTGGACTTCACAATAGTTGTGCAGAACAAAATAAGCATTAATAAGAAAAGGAAAGTCCTCCGTTTTGTGTCCGTCCTCTGTTACTGAAACCGCTCGTCCTCTGAAGCAGCACTCCACTTATAATAGTAACAACAAAGCCCAGAGGGGTGTGAGTCAATAAGTTGTGCGTTTATTTTATCATTTCAGATCTGAACTCAGACCGGCCTACCCGCCCTATATATGAGAGAAACCTTTGATTACTTTCACACAAAACTCATGCTCAGCAAACATGGAAATACTCTCAATTTATTATTCAAACCAGTATGAATATTACTTATAAAATCAGAGAACATATCACACATTCATCATTCATTCGAGACCGTTAAGCAAGACAACACTCCTAGTGGCATCCTGAACGGGAAAAGTAAGCAAAGAAAGGTGGGGACACTTTTATTTTGATCTATTTATTTATGTATTTTATTTTATTTATTTATTGGTTGATTTGTATCGTGCTTTTGCTGCTTTGTCTGTCTCACAACACTTACAGTACACTCCAATTATTTTGATCTGATGAACCCTTATGGAATATATCCTTATGGACTAATGGGATATAAACAAGAGAGGAATGGACTTTTGAAAGTCATGTCTGCTCAAATGTAGGAGTCACTGCTTTTTTCCTTCTCTCTTGTTTACTCTTAGGGCTGTACTCAATAGTTCAAAGCTTCATTCTCTCTCTCTCTCTCACACATACACACATACATCAAGCGACCCGACATTCAGTCCTTGTCTCAGTAATTGTCTCAGTAAACTAACTAAAATATAAAGACAATGTATATATGACAATGCTAGCTTGTTGGAAGGGGGCTAAATAACGCCAAATATTCATGCGAGTGAAAAACTGAAATAGCCCCATTCACAGGGGCCCCTGACCTCTCACCTGAAGATGGGTTCCACAAGCCTCCCGTTTTCAGACATGCCCACGTTATGATAACCCTATGCAGTTTTCTGCCTGCAGTAGAATGTGTTGTGTTATACGTATGTGTTGTATTTGCCTGATCTGAAAATGTATTTGAATATTTCTGCATACAGGGGCGACTGTGGCTCAGTGGTAGAGCAGGGTCGTCCTTCAACCAGCGGTTCGATCCTCGGCTCCACTAGTCCATGTTTATGTGTCCTTGAGCAAGACACTTAACCCCAAATTGCAGGAAGAAACACCATGCTCCTCTGAAAGGAGCTGAAGCAGTGACTCTTGAAAATGTGTGTAGTAGACCACCCCTCCCCCCTTCACACACACACAAATAAATCATGGTACATTGAAATGTGTATGATCTGCCACTAGCCTTTATGGCACCATGCTAAATTAATTTAAATGTCATCCATCACATCCTCCAACAGGAAGGGGGACACTTCTCTCCCATCCTCCTGAACATCGTCACACACATCCACATGATAGCAATCCAACACGCTCTCACGCGTATCCTCTGACCTATAGCGCTGATTAAAGAACACACTCATGCTAGCTGTGTGACCCGGTGAGGGCTGACATACCCGGGGAGCTCCAGTCGCTTTGCAGCGTGTGGTCTGTCAGTTGTGATCCGTCTCCAGGCTGAGAGCTGCACACAGAGTGGCCAGGCATAAAAAAGCCATCGCCGCACACCATAAGCCAATAATAATTCATTAATGTAATTTACAGTAACACACATCTGCAATGTCAGGGAAGTGTGTGTGCATAAAAAAAAAATAAGAAAACGCATTTGGAGTCGCATTCCTCCTGGTGAACTCCAAACGTATTTTCTTATTGAAGTTTTTTTCTTTAAAGCTGTAATATGCAACAACGTCCTATTGTGTTGGTGTCTATCTACAGAGACTCTGTCCCCTGCATGTTTTATCTCTTTTCTTCTTATTTTGCTATGTGCTGGACGATTGGCCTTTAATCACAAGATCAATGGTTCGATCCCCGGCTCACCAAGTCCATGCCGATGTTTTCATTGCTCCTGTAGGCTGTTCCAGAGGTGTATGAATGTTAGATAGTCCTGATGGGCAGGTGACACCTTGCATGGTAGCCCCTTCCATCAGTGTATGAATGAGTGAATGACGACATGTAGTGTTAAAGAGCGCTGAGTGGTCGGAAGACTAGAAAAGGTGCAAGTACAGTCCATGTACCATAATTCTCTGCTTGGTTGGGCCTCCGTTAGATCATGTGACACTTAGATTGCACACAGGTGGACTTCATTTAACTAATTATGTGACTTCTGATGGTAGTTGGCCCGAATGATCACCAGAGCTTATTTAGGGGCACAAATACAAATGCACGCTTTTTCAAAAAGTTTTTTATTTTTATTTCACTTCAACAATTTTGACTGTTTTATGTAATTCCATCACATTAAATCCAAAAAAAA